AAACGCTAAAAAAGTCAGATTCGTAACGTTTTAACGTTCTGAAAGTGCCAATTACACGTTAAAAACGGCGTTTTATTAGTTGACGTGTTCAGCTCACAGTCGAGGTTCTCGACTGTATGTTTACACGCGTTTTTCCAAATTCTTGTCTGCCTGGGTACTCACACTTAGACGCATATCCACCCACACTCACACCCATACCCTTTTTAGAGAATGAAAGTTTTTTAAGAAAACGATACATACCCAAGATATTCTTGTTTTCCAATGTTATTGTTTGAAAGGATCTATTTTTTTCAACTGCCGTGAAACAACACAAATGTTTTGCTCTTTTTATACTTGTCAGCAGAAAATATGTCGTAAAAAGACAAAAAAAAAATAGGCCAATCTTTCTGTCAAGAGAACGTGCATTCTGATTGGTGAAACTGACTTTAAAAAATATTTTTTCAGCTGCCAGTTTCCTTAGAGATATATTTTTTTTCCTACCGTGCTAGAAAAAGAAAATACTAGATGAACCATATCTTGCTAATTGTTTTTTAAATTAGTTATTTGTTCATAAAAGAAGTTCTTGCATCAAAAAGTAAAGCAGAATAAATTACAAACTTCATATTTAATGAATATTTTTTTCAAGTTTCATTAGATTCAGAGTGAAATTTGTTTTTAGAAAAACTAAGTTCTGAATTATCGATGAAACTGTTGATCAAGTTTTATTATAAGCTTAAAACGAACAAAATTGGTGAAAAAATACTAAATATATAAAACATTTATAAGTATACAAATTGATTTCCGTTTTTTTCTTGATAAGTATATTACTTGTGAAATTGTTTTATTATATGATTTCGAGAAGAATAAAGTGTCCTCTATTTTACATCAAAGAAATCTTAATAGAAAAAATCAAACTTTGAAATGTTAAACTCCAAACTGATTTTTGTCATCTTTGTATTTGAATTTCATCGATTAGGAAAGAAATGTTATGGTTGACATGATAATTTAGTTGAGTTTGGAATGCGCGAAAGAAAAATCAAGAAACTAAAAGTTTCGTTGGTAGAAAATTTTTTATTGTAAGAATGAAGCTTTATGTCTGATAAGAGCTGTAAGCCGTGCGACTGAACCACCGCCGCCGACTCAAGATATGGGTGTCATGTTCTCTATTTACAATGAATAATATTTCACATCTCATATGATTTTATTGTAAGTTCAGTTGCAATTATATTAAATTATTAACCGAGAAAAGTGATAATTTATGGATTGTAAGTAACTCAATGTTTATAGTTTATGATAAAGAGTGAGATGTTCTATTAGAATGCACTATTGATTACCATTTTTTTAATTGATTGAAACTAAATGTTTGTGTAAAACAATCACCATGGACTAAATTTTATTTATCGAAAATGTGAATATAAATTCTAAACCTATATGCTGTCATTTTGTTATTTCGTTTCTTTGTATTACTATTTCATTTAATTTATTGAATAATTTTTTTAAAACTAAAGTTGAAGATACCAAGCATTTATTTATCCACATGATCGTTCATACTACCTGTAGAAATATTACATCTGCTTGGAATACAAAAATTTTGTTTTCTTTGTTAAATGCAAGTGACTGAAAAATCAACTAAATTTTTTCGTTAATAGTTGCATATGGCTGAATAAAGCTCTACAAGAACATATATGTTGAAGGGTTTTTAAAATGTTTTCTTTAATGCAGAGTTTATAAAAAAACTAGTATAGAAGATCGAAATAATTAAAGAAAAAAACCAAATATGTAATGTTCTCTGGAAATAACTTGAGAGTGTGGATATGGTTGTATCCTAAGCACATCCAAATCCAAAACATCAAATTAGTGATCTTTCCAGCAAAGGGAAATAGCTCAAAAGAATGAGTTTAATACATCAACAAAAAGTCTCCAAAAACATTCGCATACTCTACACAGAAAAAAGGAAGAAGTTTTTATGGTAATGATGAGTATATAAAAATATGTCGAAGTAACTCTAGTTACTTATAGAAAAAAGTTTAATGGCAAAATGAATTAATATTTCAAAGTTCTGATTCATAAATGTAGAATTCTGCATTTGTTTTTGTTTTGTTCTTACAATCTCTAATGAAATGATTGAAGAAGAAGAAATATATTTTTATCGACGATAAAATTCGTTATCGTCTAATGTTTTAAGAAATCAGATTTTTGTATCTAAAATTATTGAATTTATGTTTAAATTCATACAAGTTTTCATTTTTTTAACGAAAAATCTCACGCCAACATAGTAGAAGGGTGTGCATCAGAGTAGATCACCAGATATTTATACTTTATTCTCATCATACTATATTTTTAAGTTTGATAATAACTATTAAACAAAAGTAATTTCATAATGAGATCTGTTATTGATTAAAACATTCATAAATTTTTCTTTCATTTAACTAATTTACGTAACTTTTTCCTTTTTTTATCTCTGTTCGAAAATATAATTTGTTGTCTTTTCACTTCCAGAAACAAAATTCTGTTCTTCAAATTATTAATGACGACGAAAAATATTATATTAAAATAAATAATAATAAAATTTCATATCGTATAGTCATACAACAAACTAATTTCAGATCCATACCGTTTGTTTCATCTAAATTCTTTGTTTTACTATTTGATAATTCTCTCATTTGAGACGAAATTGCTTCGAATTCGAATGTGTCAACGATTTACATTTTCATCTTTCCACTGTTTGCTTCTGCGTCGAGAAAATAAAACAAAACAAATCTTTTTACCAACACAAAAAAATTTTTGCGTGAAGAGTGTTTGATCAAAACAAAAATTTTTGTTAAAAGTAATCGCTACTATAAAAGTGTCTTTTGTGATATTTTTTAGTTTTTTTTTCGCTACTAGGAAGTAGTAGACACTAACACTTTTTTGAGTATTTTTTTCTTTGTTTAAGTAAATACATTTAAAGTTTGAAAAACATGGCTATGCGAAGAAAAATAATCTACGTCATTGATTGTTTTTTCGCTAATGCGCAGAATAATTTTATTCTAGAATAACAAAATGACGCCATTTACTGTACTACCTAACGATTGCTATATAAAGAACAGCGAAAGAAGCTCAAAACACATCATTTCTTAGTTACAAATTCAGAATATTCAATAACCATGTTGAAATTTTCAACTTTAATTTTCACTTTTTTATTCTCGATTATAGTCTTAGTGTAAGTGTACAATATTATCTTTGACATATACGATAATTTTTGTTTCTTTTCTACATAACAGGAAAACTTCTCAACAGCAACAATCTCTAAGTAGTTCATTGACAACTGTTTTTTTAATGTTTTTATTATGTCTTCTTTTTCTTAGATAGCACAACAATCGCAACGTGTAATTTTACTGCATGTAGTTCTCAACGAATCCTATGTTCAGATAATCATGATTGTGAATGTTTTTCATTGACAACAAGCCCAACTGTTGGAATTTGTGCTTCAGCTGTTTTACCTTATACTAGTGTTGTACGATGTAATGCAGATAATAAAACATGTTCAATTGAAAATACAGTCTGTGTCAATAGTACACGTTGTGGACAACCAGTTTGTTATCCATTAGCTTTAGCTAACAAATTAATTTGTCCAAAAAACACAACAGGTAAAATAATTCTTAATAATTTTGTTTTTAAAAATCTTTTCTTGCGATAGTAGCAACAACCACTACAAAGAGTAAGTGAAGTTTTACTAAATTTTGTATTGAAAAGATATTTTTATGAACATCTATTTTTATTTTTATTTAGTAACAAATACTACAGTAAAGAGTAAGTAAAATTTTACTAAATTTTGTGTTGAAGAAATTTTTTCTGATGAATATTTGTTTTTTTTAGTAGCAACAACTACAACAAAGAGTAAGGAAAATTTTAATATATTTTCCTTTGAAGAGATTTTTTCAGATAAACATTTGTTCTTTTGATTTAGTACCAACAACAACTATGAAAAATATCAGTAGTACTACAAAATCAACAACAATAGGTAGAGTATAAAGCATAATTGTTAATAATCTTAGTTTATCTTTTACTTCCTTTACGCTTTTAGTTCGTTCGAATACTACAATTAGCAGTACTAATACCATTCCAAGTGCGTATTCAATAGAGCAATTATTTTAATCCATTTTTACAAAGATTTGATTCATCTTATGAAAAACTATCTAAAATTAGATCCTTTCATTTCATATTTTGACTATAAAGAGAACTTAGAAAGCCATTGTAGGTTTTCTTAATAATATACTAAACGTATTATCATAAAAAACAACTTTATATCTCATAGCAGAAGTTTATTTGTTATATTATTGAGTGAAATATTTTTAAATGTTTCTATTGTAATTTGTATATTTCATTGCTTGATATGTAGTCTGTGGCAATCGTAGTAAACTTCTAACGTTTGATGATCTACCATCTAATGGACTAATACCGAATGGTTATTATGGTATTAATTGGGATAATGAATGGGTTCAACACAATGATTTGCCAATGAGTGGATATGCTACGAGTACTGTTAGTGGAAACAATACATCGTATAACGAAGGTGGAACGCCAATGACGATGACAGGTGCCAACGGTACTCTTTTCACTTTAAACTCGGCTGTAATTGCTGCAGCATGGAATGACAATTTACAGTTAACAGTAGTTGGATACCGTTCAAATGCAGTCATTGCAAATAATACTTTTATACTTCAAGTATATACATTTTCTTCTATAACATTCTATGGATATTCAGAATTAGACTCAGCTGTATTTTCAACATCAGGTGGAATACAAAATCCAAATGTTATCGGTGGTGGTGAACATTATGGAATGGATAACCTTTGTTTAAGTTTTCCATGAACATGAACTTCGTAAAACGAATTCTTTTTAATTACATATTTTATTCCTGATTTTATTTGTGAACATTTTATTCTTGATTTTATTCGTGAAAATTTTATTTTAATCAAATTCTAAAAATATAATACATGTAAAAATCCAACAATCTGCTCGACTATTTAATTTCTAAGACTTATGTGTGTATCCGAGTTGAAAGTGTGATAAGATGAGTAATTATGAATAAAGATAAGGTGGTAAATAGACAGATGTAAATGTTTAGTATTCGATTTTGGGTATGCGTGCCAGCACCATATGCACGATATACTCAGACCCACACCCGAGAAGTGCATTTTGTTCATGAAATAATGGTATTTGATGTTCTTTTCTTTTATCAACAAGTATTCTAAACTAAATGTTGAATCAAACAACTTCGTTCTACATTGTCTTTAGGGTGTGGGTATTATTTTCATCTCATACCACACCTTTTGTCGGTCTCTCGTCATTATTTGCAAATGTTTTGAACATCCGGTAGATTACTAATACTTCAACAACTATATTCAGTGATCGACTATACTCGATTGAATCATGGAGAAACCTACTAAAATGATCCTAACTCGCGAAGAAAGGTTTATGAGTCCTTATCCTTGTAGGCTTTGCCTAGTCTTATCATACCCTACTCATGTAGGAAATGTCAGCTGAAAAGTTCTTAATCACTTTGGCGGTTTCCTCGTATGTTTTTTGAGAGATTGAATACTACTTAACAACTATTTGTGAACATATGCATGGAAAAGAAGTATAGTTTCATGTTATTTTATACTGCAATGATTCTCGCGCATAAAATAAAATACAAGAAACTATAAGAAAAGAACGAGTATTCGAGATTGTCCGTATCCATCTGTATCAAACGATATTGGTACGATCTCGTTTGAAACGATATTCACTCAATGCCTTGCGCAACATTCGTTTGTATCCAACCGACCGACGTCGCCTTTTTCGTTCACCATAATCACCTCCACCACCACCATAATTACCTCCACCACCACCATAATCACCACCGCCAACACTATAATCACCACCACCATAATCACCTCCACCGTATGGATCAGGATCTGGTGCTGGATCAGGTTCCGGTTGTGGTTCTGGATCCGGCTGCGGTTCTGGATCCGGTTGCGGTTCTGGTTCTGGTTCTGGTTCTGGATCCGGTTGCGGTTCTGGTTCTGGTTCTGGATCCGGTTGCGGTTCTGGTTCTGGATCCGGTTCTGGTTCTGGGGGAGAAGTAGATTCAGGCTGTGGTACTGGTGTTGTTGAAGGCATAGGTTCTGGTACTGGTACTGGTGTTGTTGAAGGTATAGGTTCTGGTACTGGTACTGGTGTTGTTGAAGGTATAGGTTGTGGCGATTCATTAGGTGATGGAGTAGGTGTTGACCCTGGTCTGGTTACAGGTGTTCGTTGTGTCACAGGAGGCTGCGGTGGTCGTTGTGTCACAGGAAGTTTAGGTGTAGTGGCAGATGTTGTAATCTGAAAAGATTACATTAACGAGTAGTTTATGTTTATATATAATCGTCAAGAAAATCAAAGAGCTCACTGGTGTTCGAGTGGTACCACCAAAGCATTCTTGACGAATTTGATTGTATAGCGTCATGTAACCTGTTGGATCTGTTTGATAAAATGGTCCCGAATCAATATGTACCCAATCTTTTGTCTCTGTGTTAAAATCACCTCCATACCTTAATGGTGGCGATGTACGGATTTTACCGATAAAACAGCTTACATCTGATGACCATTTTGTTGTTTGATTTAAACAGGCAGAATTGCACAGACGTCCGTTAGCAGAGACCGTATTCATATCTATGGCAGAGCCAACTAGATGATTGCTGTGCGGTGAAGGTTCATATACAACATTCTGCAGGCCAGATGTACTGAGGCGAAATGATTCCGTGATATACAACTTGATTGAACATGCATTTGCGGCTGAACAGATCAAATCCATCGATGTTTGGAAGCCGGGAACAATGCGAACAACTTGTTCTTTCGAGTTGGAAGCAATGCAATTCGGTTGAGGTGTGTAGGATATAAGCGGACAAGCACCGTTTATATAAGCTAAAACACATCATATTCACCGTTTCGTAGCAAAGAAATATCGATATCGTACTTACCGATAAGAGTCGTTAAGAAGAGGCCCACAGCAATGATGCTGTGTTTCATTCCTTTCATTTCTTACTGTATTCTATTCATAAGATACAGACATAGTAGTTATATACTGTATATTTCAGCAGTATGCATCATTAAGTTAAAGAAAGTATAGACAAATATAACGTGTGAGTGTCATTAAATACGGTTCGATTACTTTTTACTTCTCAATTTGTTTTCGAGAAGCGAAATCTTCATCGTATAACATGTTTTCAGAACCAGCACTCTTCAGAATATAAGAGGCTATAAGTTTACGGCTAATAGCACTCTGTTCTTATCAATAAATTAATATCGAGACGTATAAATGTAAATTGAGTACCACATTTTGAATATGTAAATCAGAGTGCAGCGCGGCTATATACGATATTTTTGGCAATAGGAGCTAAGCTATTAAACAAGAGTTAACTGAGTAAAAGAGTTGACGAAGAGCGAATAGAAATGAATAATTGCACAATGTAACAAACACTTTTTCTTTCGTCCTATCTGCCTCTTGAATCATACCATTTTTATGGTGGGTGTGGGTGATATCTTTTCTTCAATCACACCCATACCCTCGAAAACTGAATTCATTCAGTTTTGTACACTCATCATGTGATTCACCATCCGTGAACATAAGAAGTTTTTCATCTTGCTATGATTCTTCAGTTATTTTATCCATTTATTTTGGCGGTATATTATATTTGATCACATTACTATATATGTATATATAATCACTCTCTATATTTAAAGAAAAAAAATCTCGAAAGTGCTATTAATACAATTTCCATTAACATAAATACAAGGTATTAATATTACTGCAAATTATGCATTCAATGTTGATGATAGGGTGTGCTATAACTGTATTAATGGCACTTGTCGATATTTTTTCTTTCTGATACATCATGTTTTACATGGGTAGTGATGATGAATAGGAGCACGAAAAACAAATGTAAATCTTAACCGTTGTAGTGCATCAATACTTACCTTAAATTATGTGCTTGTTATAAAGTAATACGCAGTTTACTTAGTAAAAAAATAGAAAAATATAATTCTAAATGAATCATAGAGTATGAGAGATTAGACCAAAAAAGTATCAAACCGTCTTAGGAGGATATGGTAATTGAATTGGTTTCACATTTACATTGTACACTGACCCACACTCGGTGTATATATGTATACGCGTCTAATGAATTTGCGTTTATGTTTTAACCTTTATACGTTTATTGAATTCTTTTCTTATAACTTCGTCATATAATTAAATACCGAAAAAAGCATACTATTATTAACGATGCAAAAAATTGAAAGAAATTTGAATATTCTTATTTCGAAGTTTGATATTTCTATTTTCTCAATACTTCTTTAAACAAACAAGAAAATGCTTCATTAAATTACTGCTATTCTCATTGTTATGCTAGCTATTGGTGCTATTACTATAAATGGTCAACAATGTTCCAAAACTTTTTTGACAGTATGAGTGTGGGTGTTGGCTTGATGAGCCTACCACATCAACATCCACCCTCAAGAGTCGCACACACACCCTTGATAGAAAGAAAATCAGTTAGATAATTCTATGAGTACTCAACCATAAAATTGACAAGGTCTTCAATAAATATTTCGACTATTGAAATTCGTAGAGTTCATCGCGCTGGTCATTTTGGTAGATAAATATTTAGTCTGACTCAAACAACAACAGTGTCGGAGATTGATAGGTGTGGATCAATGTGAAATCACTAAAAAACACACTCACATCCATCTTAGATATTACATGCGTTTTATCAGTGAGATTTTGTCACAACAAAGTTCTTTTGCAATTTCTTCTACTACCGAGCAATGTGCTTTTTATCATTGAATCATCAAGTTAATATCTAAAAAAGTAGATAAGGAGACCATCAGTTCTTTTCTAAATTTCTATTCAAAGATATGGCAATGGCAAACAACAAAACACAATGTTTTACATGCAATATAGAAAAAATAACATATCTTTGCGACGGATGTTCAAAAAGATTCTGCTTAACTCATTTACCAGAACATCAACAATTATTAAATGAAGAATTAAGTCATATTGCTAATGAATATAATGAATTTAAACAAATAATTAATGAACAAAAACAAAATCTACAAAATCATTCATTAATAAAACAAATTGATCAATGGGAAACAAATTCAATTGAGATAATTCAACAAAAAGCACAAAACTGTAGAGACATTGCCATTAAATATTCACGAAGATTCATTACAGATATTGAAAATAAATTGAATGATTTAAATGAACAAATAAAAGAAATTCATCAAGAAAATGAATTTAATGAAATTAATCTAAATTATTTAAAAAATCAATTAATAGAAATTATAGAAGAATTAATTAATCTATCAAATATTTCTATTCAAAAAGATACACAATCATTTATTAATGAAATTTCAATTATTTCATCGATAAGTAAGTTTTTAATAAATAATTTCTGAAAGATTTCTTTTTTTCGTATTTCATATTATTCAAAAAAAATAACAAAAGAGATTTTTTCTATTCAAATTCGCTTCAGAAGAATTTACTTTTGTTTTCCTCCTACAAAGCGTCGAATGACTTATGTTTTTCTCTCAATAAAAGTCTTTTTAAAACTCAATAAAAAATTTCAAATAAAATTTGTCTTTTTATTAAACATTTTTTATTAACATTTTATTCAAAACTGATTTTTTCTTTTTCTTCTTCTTCTTCTTTTTATCAAAGTATTTTGCTTTCATCATCTTCTAGAACCAAAATTTAATAAATGGAAACAAAATGCCATCACTGTGGCTGGTGGAAATGATTCCGGACAAGAACTAAATCAATTCCGTTGCCCTACTGGAATCTTCATTGATAAAAAGAAAAATGTTTTCATTGCTGATAGTCTGAATCATCGTATTGTTGAATGGAAATATAATGCAAAAGAAGGGCAAATCATTGCAGGTGAAAATAGATATGGAAATCAAATGGATCAATTGAGTTGTCCAGCAGATGTTATTTATGATCAACAAAATCATTCAATCATCATTGCTGATCAAGGGAACAGACGAGTGATTCGATGGATGAATAAAAGTCAACAAATTCTCGTTCATAATATTGACTGTAATGGTTTGGCAGTTGATAAAAATGGTTTTCTTTATGTTTCTGATCGTGAGAAGAATGAAGTGAGACGATGGAAAATGGGTGAATACAATGAAGGAATTGTAGTGGCTGGTGGAAATGGACAAGGAAGTAAACTCGATCAACTCAATCTTCCCTGTTCCATCTTTGTTGATGAAGATCAATCTGTTTATGTGTCCGATGAAAAAAATGATCGTGTGATGAAATGGAGAAAAGATGCAAAAGAAGGAAGAGTTGTGGCTGGAGGAAATGGTCGAGGAGAAAATCTCAATCAGTTGTTTGCACCTGGAGGAGTAATTGTTGACTATTTGAGCCAAATCTATGTGGTAGATTGGGGAAATGAGCGAGTAATGCGTTGGTGTGAAGAGAAAGGAGAATATGAAATTGTTGTTGGTGAAAACGGTCAAGGAAATCAATCAAATCAATTGAAGGGTCCCTTTGATTTATCTTTTGATGATGAAGGAAATCTTTATGTTGCTGATTGTTCAAATTATCGAATTCAAAAATTTGAAGTAGTTTTATAAATGAAATTCTAATTTTGAAAAAAAAGAAAAGAATTCTTTTTAAATAAAAAATCAAGAAATAAAACTGAAAATAAAAGAAAAGTGAAGTTTTATTATGCAAAATCAATGAAAAAATCGAATAAATTTTGAAGAAAAAGAAAGATTTTTATAAGAAAACAATGAAAAAAAACTCTTTTTTACTTTTGTTCATCAAAATTGAATTTAGTTTGATAATTTTGATTAAAAAAATTCGAATGAATGGTAAATTCTGTATCTTTCGTTAATATTGTTGAATTTTACAAAAGAAAATGTTTTGTAATTTGAAATGAACGTAAATAAAAATTATTCAACCAGAAGATTTTATGTTGGAGAAAACTGTTTGAATATTTTATTTGATGAAAATATGATCAAATATTTTTAGCTTTTTGATTTGATAAAATTTGAAAATTTTTCGAAAATCAAGAGAAAATGATTCTTCTATGAAAACTCGAAAATAAAAATCGAATTCAGAATGAATTTTGTTGAACAAAACAAATATTGAAAAGATTTTGAATAAAAATGTTTTGTCAAAATGAAATCAATGACATTATCATTTAGATGAAAACAAAAAACAGAATTTCGAAAGAAAATTAAAATTAAAAAGCAGTAAAAGTTCTGTAACGACGCAAAACTAAAAATAGATTTTTTAATTTCAAAGAAGTTTATTCTATTATTAAAGAAATTCAAATAAGTATTTAATTATTTCTCTATGAGATTTAATTGAATTGTTTCAAATAAAGATTTTCATCTTTTGAATTTTTTGATATACTTTTACTCATATTATTAAATGTATTTATAGTGAAACAGATTAAAAATTTACAGGTTAGTTTCATTTTATACCTTGTGATTCTATATATATTTAGATAATTATAGATATCTGAGGAAAAGCTATTAGATAGAAATAGTTTTCTAGTCTTGTTGTTCATGTGTTCCTAGTTTAAATTCATATATGGGCACGGCCAGCTAACGGTCCCCTTCGCTGGTGCAGGTTAAAAATCAGTAATATATAGAAAAAAAAATTTTAACAGAAATTATGATCTTGAAATATTATTAAGTTTGTCGGACATTCTGAATTACTTAGCTGACATATAAACCAAATGTCATTTTCCGTTCTTACGAGTTTAAAAACACGAATAATCACGAAATTTCGCTTTTTTTTATTTTGAAAATTTTCATTTTTGTCAAAATAATGAATGAAATTTTCTGAAATTTTGAGACAAACATGAAAATGGACTAATCGATTTATAGAAAACGATACTCTTAATCGTTACAGAATGAAAAAAGTTAGATTTCATAGTTCAAATTATTATAAAAATGTAATTAAATTGTCCCTCACAGAAAAAGAGATAAACGGCGAAATTCTGTAACGCTCAATCTTTTAAGTCGTCTTATTTAACGGAAATGTTTTACAGAGAAAACGACACGATATTCTAAGAGCTTGTGAAAAGTTGAACAATCTATGTATAAAACGTTCATTTATGTGTCACTTAGTTTCGGGGAAAATTGTTCAAATCTGAATCCTCCCTCAAAATTTTGTCTATTTTTGAAATTCCGTAACGAACGATGTTTTTCATATAACTCCTTCATGGTTCATCATAAGTCAGTGAATTTTTTACTGCTAGTAGAGCTAGTTAATCTTCATATATGGTAAAAATTTCAGAAACATTTCTCTTGTTATTGAGGAGATACATGTCTCACAAGTTGAAAAAATGAAATTCCGTCACGCTTGGCCGTGCCCATAGAAATAATTTAAAACGAATATCAATCTTCAATAGTTTTTCATAAAACGATAATCCATTCTAATTTGATTACTTGAGTTTTGTTTTGTAATCAATTCAATATCTCAGTCAACTTAACAAAACAATATGTATGAATTACTTTATCTCATGTTAAAAATAAAATCTTGTGTGATGGAAAAGTACAAAACAATACTTATCATCAAATATGAACAGCAAAAAGAATTTCTCAAATACAATGAAGGTTAATATTTATATAAAATTATTTGTACCTGTAACTTTATTTTCTTTTATATGTTTTTTGAAATTTCATTTTTATTATAAAATATTTCATTTAGAAAATCATTCAACAAATGATAAATGTAAAGATGTAGTTAGAAATTTATTTCTTAATTAATCGAAATTTATTCGAAATCTTTATTTACTAAAAATCAATCAATTCTATCAGAATATGTTGATAAAACAGGTAATTAAGTTTTAAAACGTTTTTTCAACCCGCATCCTTAAAAATCTGCAATTATTTATTTCATATCTTTTCAATGAATATAACTAAATATATTCAAACAACTAAAAATATATTAATAATTTTATCATATTTAGCTTGCATTTAAAAGAATTTAATAAAATATATTTCCACATTTTCTTTTTCTAGGAAAAAAAATATTATTTCAAATCTTTTCATTTGACCTGCTTATTTATATAAAAAATATTTTATTAAATTTCGTCTTTTTCAATGAGAAAATAGTTTAAAAAATGTTAGAGTTAGTAGATAATTGATCTGTTTGATACAAAATGTTCAATTCTGATATTTCATTAAGAAGATTATTATATACTTTGTGTTGACATTGATTTTCTTCTAATATTATGAGTAAATATGATCTGTTTCAAGAAGGATTGGAATACTATGCATAATTAATTAAAATAGTTTTCTCATCATTTCATCTAAAACAAAAAATAAAAATTTACCAGATTTTCCAACAGATTGTAAACTCTTTCAAACGAATATTGACTATCAGAGATCAAATTATTATAATGTGTTGAATTTTCAATAAATATCTAGATCATATATTATCCCATGCCGTCTTTTTCATGAAAAGCGTCAGTTCAATCTGGTTTCATATTTTCCATTATTTGTTTATAAAATTTTCTGTAAGATTGATATTATCTGTCTTAAAAACGTAGTATTCTAGATCGTGTCGTTTGATAGAGTTTCCTGAGATGTATAATCATGAAAATTTTAATACAGTACTCTGTAGCTCTCAACAAACTACAGATAATTCGCATTGTGAGATGAATCAAAAAACTTTTCTAGTGAAAAAACGACTTCATCATCCGATAGGTAGAAATTGGTTTATATCTGCTTCAAGTTCGTCAAGTTCTTTTTCTTGCATAATTATTTTACAATCGAATCTTTCAGCATTAAACTATCTTTAAAAAGAATCTAAGATCACAATGCAAAAGACAACTATGAAGAAAAATAAAAATGTATAAACAAATAATGTAAATATCGATAGACGAGGAGAAATTATTCATCGTTACAAAATAATAACCTTGTTGATATGATTTTATTCTTCTCTTTGATAATACTTTCTATTATAAAAAGGTCGTGATATATTCTATACAATCGACTATTGTGAGATGTTGGTTTATTCCATAACAGAACACTAATCCATACAAAAAGAATGATGATACATCACAGAACAGAACAATATATATATATATCTACCACTGCCAACGCTTTCTCTCTTACTCAGAACAACAAAATATGGAAAAGGAGCAAAAAGACAAGTGAGAGGAGTGTGAATGGAAACAAATAAATATAAGACAGAAGAGAATGTATCATGTGTAAAGCACATGACAATTATATACCTATATCGATAATTTATTTCTATTTCTTTTTTTTATCATACGACCTATAATCCTTTATTAGATTTTTCCTTCCATTTTTCTTTTGATTCATTCTCATGTAAAATATTCCAACTTAATTAACTTTTTTTTGTGGTATTACGAAGCATTTATTTCAAAAAGACAAACAAATAATGATTTAATGTTTGTACATTCTTTTTCTTTCTTCACCTTTCTTCGTCGAAATTGTGTCGAGAATAGGAAAAAAACAGATATATCAAATGATCATATAACGTCAATTTACATTACACAAATGATAACGAAATAAAACAAAATTGGCTTGTAAAGGTAATTAACAAGAGGAAAAAATATTATATTCATATTCGTTTGTTTTTCTTTCTTTCGTATTTAGACACGTTTAGTGAATATTTGTCCAACGTTTTTTTTTGATGATGACATGATATATTTTCAAAGACAGTATTTTAGTCTATCATGATCCAATCAGCAACGACAAATTCAACTAACCATCATAGATTGGATGACACAGAAACAGAAGAACAAACTCTACGAAAGTTAAATGATGATATAAAGAATTTTTAGAATCAAAAGAAAGTGCTACATATATAAAAGATATACTAACATGGACATTAGCATTCTGAGTCAATGAATTTTGTATTTGAAATCAAATCTGAAGTTTTGTCTAACCATCTTAGATACCACATCAGTATTACTAGTGAGATTTTATTACAACAAAATTCTTTTTAGATTTCTTCTATAAATTTATATTCAACGACATGGAAATGGAAAACAACGAAACACAATGTTTTGAAGGTAACAAAGAAAAAATAACATATTTTTTGTGAAGAATGTTCAAGAAAATTTTGTTTAGTTCATTTAACAGAACATGAACAAATAATAAATGAAGAATTAAATGATATTATTAATAATTATGATCAATTTAAACAAACAATTAATGAACAAAAAGAGAATCCACAAAATCAGTTATTAATAGAACAAATTAATCAATGGGAAACAAACTCAATCGAAATAATTCAGAAAAAAGCACAGAACTGTAGAGACATTGTTATTAAATCATCACAAACATTTATTAATGATATTGAAAATAAATTGAATGATTTAAATGAAAAAATAAAAGAAATTCACAAAGAAAGTGAATTAAATGAATCTAATTTGAATTACTTAAAAAATCAATTGATAGAAATGACAGAAACATTTAAAAATCCACCAAATATTTCTATTGAACACGATACACAATCATTTATTAATGAAATTTCAATTATTTCATCAAAAAGTAAGTTATAAAAAAACTAATTCTCATTTCCTATAAAACTATATTGAAAACCATCTTGAGGGTGTGGGTGTGGGTATCAGAGAGTGGATATAGTCATGTACACACCCACATTTCTTCCTTTTCTTATTCGTTTCATTAAAATCTTTTGTTTTCATTATTTTCTAGAACCGAAATTTAATAAATGGAAACAAAATGCCATCACTGCGGCTGGTGGAAATCGAAGAGGACAAAAATTGAATCTGGTGAATTACCCTTTTGGAATCTTCATTGATAAAAAGAAAAATGTTTTCATTGCTGATAGTCATAATCATCGTATTGTCGAATGGAAATGTAATGCAAAAGAAGGGCACATCATTGCAGGTGGAAATGGTAAAGGAAATCAATTGGATCAATTAAATCGACCAACAGATGTTATTTATGATCAACAAAATCATTCGATCATCATTGCTGATTATGGTAACAGGCGAGTGATTCAAAATCAACAAATTCTTATTAATAATATTGACTGTTGGGGTTTGGCAATTGATAAACAAGGATTTCTTTATGTTTCGAATTGGAGAAAGAATGAAGTGAGACGATGGAAAATGGGAGAATATGATAACGAAGGAATCGTAGTGGCAGGTGGAAATGCAAAAGGATATCAACTCAGTCAACTCAATTTTCCTACTTTTATCTTTGTTGATGAAGAACAATCTGTTTACGTATCAGATTACAACAATGATCGTGTAGTGAAATGGAGAAAAGATGCAAAAGAAGGGAGAATTGTGGCTGGAGGAAATGGTCAAGGAGAAAATCTCAATCAGTTGTTTGCACCTGAAGGAGTAATTGTTGATGATTTAGGTAGAATCTATGTGGCAGATTGTGAAAATCATCGAATAATGCGTTGGCGAGAAGGAAAAGAAGAAGGTGAAATTGTTGTTGGTGGAAATGGAATAGAAAATGAATTAAATGGTCCTATGGGTTTATCTTTTGATGATGAAGGAAATCTTTATGTTGCTGATTGTGACAATTATCAAATTAAAAAATTTGAAATAATTTTGTAAATGAAATTTTTTTTAAATAAAAAGAAAATCATCATCAATGATTATTTCTTAATATAAATTTGAATAAAAATATCTAAAAGATGGATCTGTATGAATGATGATGATGATTTAATGTTCTTGTTTAAAAATAAAATATAATTAAATAATTTCTATGTAATAACGAAGGTAATTTGAATGATATTAAAGGAAAGAGATATAAATTCTCATATATTTTTTGCAAAAATTTAAGAAAAACAAAAATTCAGTTATTTCTTTTAGATAGAATGAGAACTAAGAGATAAACTGACATTTACTTTCTTATCGAATAAATTTATTCATTATTTTTATTAAATTATATTTGAGAAAAAAACAATTTTCATATGTGAAAAATTCATTAGCGAATTATAGAATTTCTATTTGACTAAATAAAATACTTATTAAAAATAAAATTGAATTTCACTTATTACATCAATTAAAAAAAACTATTTATTCGATATTTTCATCTGTAAGACATTATTTAAAAAATAATTCTTAAAGAAAATATTTGAAAATATAAAAGATTAATTTAATATCGTATTTGACACATATATATATAATTAAACAGATATATGATAAACGGTTAAATTTATTTTAAAAATATGTCATAACAAACAGAATTTTTATAAAGAAGTTCGTTTTAAATAATAAATCAATTTTTCAAACATGTTTTATGGTAAGAATTAATTTTAATCATCGCAGATATTTGTTATTATCGTTTTTCTAGAGGCTTTTCTTACCGAATATTTTAAGAGAAAAAATCAAATTTCGACTATGTATCTATTTTGAGATATATGAATACATTTTGGCATATCCAGTTATATGCAATATTTTCGTTTTATGATTATTCTTATAGTTATTTATTTCGATATTGTTTTTCTTTTTTAATTGAATTCTTATATTTTCAAAAGATTTTTTTTAGTTAAAAAATTCATTTGAGATTTTTACTTTCTTTAATTAACAAAATGAAACTATTGAAAATGTTATTTTTAGTTGACATTATTTACAAGTGTCAAAAATCTTGTTTGTCTTCATTTTATTTACTTTGTATTTTTTAATTTTGTTTCATTATGAAACACTAAACATCCATTTGATCAAATATAAAAATGTATTTTTTTGTTATTTTTCTTCTCTTTTTCGCTTGGAATGTTGTTACATTTATTTTTATTTTTGAAGCAAATATATAGTTAGAAAAAAACACAAAACATAAAACGTTATTCTTTTACAAAACAACCAGAAGAATTTATGCACCGAAAAAGAAACTCAAATTGAGATATACAAAATTCTTATCTTATATCGAAAGAATTATACAAATCGTCACAACCTTAGAAATTCAAGTGTTTGAAATAGTTTCATTTGGTAAGTTTGTTTTTTGAAATAGAGTGAAAAATGAGCATAGAGAATATAATAGGACTACTATTTTGAGAATAGGGATAAAATTAGATGAAAGTGAAGATGATGATATAGCTATAAAATAGATAGATATACAATCATACATGCACATAAATTTATATTCATCTTTTCACATTGAGTCTCCTCACTGATGTTGACGTTTACACTCAAGTCAAACTTTCGATGAACTCTGATTGGATTTAAAAATTGTATAGATTCAATAGTGAAATGGTTTCTCCTACATATACTAACACATATATTGGATGTGGGTGTAGTTGTGGGTGAGGATATGAGTGTGGATACGAGAGGACTGCAACACCCCTACTCACACCCACACGCACCTTCAAGAAATTGAACATTGATAAAAGTTTCAATAGTACTTCTTGCTTCTGTCCTAGGCTCCATGTCAACGCAACCGACTGGAAACTCCAGCCTGTCAAATTTGGCTCTCTCCAAGGCGGATAAAATATTTAGCGAATGGTTGAGTCGTCGAGGCAATTCGGCATTGCCTGCTCAGGAATCTGGTGCGCCCTGTGGTTGTCCAAAGTGTACGGGACAAAAATCTCAGCAAGAAAAAAATACTCAGCCATCAGCGGCAAGATCAGCTTCGGCATCGCATGATTGTAAACAGCATTCGCACCCACAATGTACGTTCTCTGTTTCCACATCACAAATCACCGAACCCGAACAGCTACATTTCTCTGAAAAATTGAAGCAATCAAGCATGGTATGCTATCTGTTGATGTCGGAATCGTTTTTGTTTTTGAAATTAGCATTACTTTCATGTGTTTTTCAGAGCTAACAGTCCGATGTATGTCAGAGCAAAAAAAAGCAGACTTAAGAGCCTTAAGCATTCATGAGGATAGATCAAGACCAGGATTTGCTTTTTTTTTGACTGAAACGTGATCATTATTTTCGACTAACATTAATGGAAAAACGCTTCACCACTATCGTAATTCTTTCAATCATGTTTGTCTTTATTTCAAAATTTTTAAATCCCACTTCTCTTCTAATTCGACAGGTCGAAGCTATTTCTCTGAAGCCTATTCACTCTGCAACCGAATCATTAGAGAATGCAACAAAGCCAAAGGAATTCTCTAGAATACCGGTACGAACATCAACAGCACAAATAACGCCATTTCCTAGGAAGATTTGGGATGGAAAGTCAAGGATACCCCGCGCAGTGTCGGCTTTAAGTGTTCATTTGACATCACCGCCATCACCAGCGAGAAGCAATATCAAATTTGATCAAGTTGATGAAAAAAAGTGAGTTTATTTTGTTTTTTTTCTAAATGTACATTAGTAGCTGCTGTTTCATATAAATAGTAGAGTGTGGATGTAGGTGTGAATCAATGTGAACTCACTTACAAACATACTCACATTCACACCTACGCCCTCAAGATGGGGACGAATCGACTTAGAGCTTTTTTCTACTCACTAGAATCTATATGATATGAGTAGTCTGAGTCCAGAAGCTTTCTATTACCTCGAGGATTTTTTTTTGTTGTCAGCTCCTCTCTGTAGTTAATATGAACTCAACTCCTTCTACCTACCATTTACTGCTAGTTACCAAGATTTATGTCAGGATTCGATCCGAAAACTCTATTGGCTATACCATTACTAAAGTTTCTTTGCAGTGTTTCCTTTTCTTGTGAATAACTTTGATACCTATCTATTCTTTTAATATTAGGTCCAAAAACATCAATGACAAAAACCAGATCGCGAAACCAATCGCTGCATCACATCCAAAAATAGAAGAGCAAGGCGCCCCAAGAAAAGGTATGTATGAATTGTTGTTAATAAGCCATACGGAAATGTATATTTTAATTGTAAGCTTATTTCGGGTGTGGTTGAGACCAAGACATAGACACTAACACCCTCACCAACTCACCCACACACATTGTAAAGGCTAAAATTTTACATCGAATGACCCGTCTCGTGAGATCTTTCAAGCATTCTTTGGTTTAAAAAATCAAAATAAAATTTTCTAAGAGTTCAAAACCTGGTTTTAGATGCAAAATTAAGGCTTATTTTTATAAAAAAAGATGACAAAATCGTAATCAGTGTTAAAAACTGTATCCAATAACTCATTCAGGTCTGCCCACCTCGACAACAAGTTTGTTGAAAATATCATCAGCGAAGTATCGCATTAAGTGAACAAATTGCTTGACACTGAATGGTTTTATTGGGTAAAAAACACAATAAAAGATTGCCCTGTAAAAATAAATACCATGAACATTGGCCTTTTATAGTAATACATGAAAGACTTTTAGTAAAATTCTTGCAGTAATTTTACATTTTTTCCATAAGCTGGTATAAAATATTAAACTATTAGAATAAGATAAAATATGAAAATTGATACAGATGCAGACTCTAGTATTTCCATAGATTGGAACAGGTAGTTAGCATCATAATAAGTTATTTTAAAAAACGGTTATACTCTTCGGTTTGATCCATTTTGTTATGTCTTATTTATCATTTCTGGTATTAAATCAATCAGATATACTCTTCAATTTTGTTACTAATAAAAGACAGTTATTGCGTAACACATCGATGTATACTGTAGGTCCAGATCCATCACTTGAAAAAGATCAAACAATAGCGTTGTGCTCCATAGAGGTTCATATTCGTTCGACGAATTCAATATGCCAAATGACAACTGTTCCTACTGCGACGATTGGAGACTTCATCAGTAGTATATGCCAGAAAGTGAGTATTGATGCATCTCCCGACCGCTATTATCTGACTTTTCGCGAACACGAATTGAATATCAACAATACTGTTCAAGAATCAGGCTTGGTTCATGCAGCAGATCCTGGTTATGACAGTTTGGTCGAACTTCGATTGAGATATGTTCATCAACTTGAAGAATCCGTACATCTCGCCAAACATATCATCCTTGTGTCACCCGAAGTACTCGATTATTCTGCAATTCTGAAGATATCACTATCTTCATCAAAAGGACGAATCTGGTCTGATATGTTGAAGCCTTTAGCGGAACAAATATATAATTATAAGTCTAAATCGTCACAGTTCGGACCAATACTAATTCCCGTGCCTGTCTTTACCAAGCGAGCGATCGATGAACTACCTGGAATATATATTACTGTTCCATTGAACCCCAATGAATTTGACTGGAATGAATTCATGAAAGCCGTAGCTGTTGATCTTGAAATCGAGTGGAGTGATATCATTATAGTGGATGTTAAAGAGGGAAGTACCATCTTTGAAATTAAACTGAAAGCAGCAATTTCATGCTGCAAGCAAAAATTTTTAAAAGTTGTTGAAAAACTAGCTATACTCTATCTTCCAACAAGTAATACTGCTGAATTTATTGCGAAACATAATCCATCACAAGATATCAAAGAAGTGCCCACAATAGAAGCTAGAATAACTGGTTTCGATGAAAGTAAAGATCTTACTGCGTCCGAAATCTCACTGATGATCGATGACATCGATACACTTCTTACATTTATCCAGCGACCATCAACAATCGGCTTGCCCATTTGGGAATATTTAACTGAGAAGAGCCGCCAACTTGCTACGTGCATTCTACCTGCTTTTCAAAGATCATCATATGAATATGTCATCGAAAATTTATCACTTATTTATAACGACGACTTGGGTCATCTATATCATAAATCGGCTGTCCATGGTGAAGAGAAGATTCTTTTTCATGGAACAAAGAGAGAAAATTTTGACGGTATATTCAACAACAATTTTAAATTTTTCGGAACAACAGATGAAGGCTGGTATGGTCGAGGTATCTATTTTAGCAGTTCTCCTGAATACTGTGCCACTTACGCAGAGTGGGATCGTAAATCCATCCTTTATTTGATATGCAGTTCTGTCAAACTCGGCAGAATGTATCCTATCAAAGATAATGCATACTCTGGGAGAGACATGCACGTCGACTATGATAGTCACTATGTAAAAGTGGACAAAGATGGAGATCCAACTTGCGTAGAACATAATTTTTTTGAAGAATTCGTTATAAAACAAAGCGATCAAATTCTACCACTTTTTATTGTTGGCTTACGACTTGCGTATCGCTTTGTTGTTTGGCGTGATCCTAAAATTACTGATAACCATAATGGTGCTGTGTTTGCTAAGATGAAAGAAAAATATGGTTTCAACATTTATGGAAGTGAGACATCGGCTGAAGCGCTTAGTATTCTCAAGTGTAAGCTGGAAGATCCGAAAATGCAATGCGTGATTGTGACGAACGGAGCCGATGAAGGCGAACAATTCGCGCATCAGTGTCGAGCTATTCGAACATCATTGCCCATTATTGTTTATTGTATGAAAGTTAACCGTCATAAAGAATGGGCAAAAAAAGTCAACGGCATTCCTAAAATTTCAGTAACCAACAACTCAACCGATGTCTTTGACTTTATTAGTTCTTCGTTTTTATAACCCATTGATTGGAACAAAACTGAGATGCCACCCATTTCTTATTTTGACCATCTACACATAAATAAAGATTCATCTACAACTATAGTATTGATGACTGGATGATTGAATCAGTAACTTACATCTTTTTCTTTTATTTGCAAAGACTGGTGCGTGTGGGTGCAGGTGTGAATCTTATAGAGGATGTGTATGAGTGTGTGTGGTTGTGGATAAGGAGAAAGAGATGATATACACCCAGATTCTCACCTTCAATCTATCTTATTATCAAAATAATCAACATCCTTTACCATAGAAATCCGTTGAATTCATAGGATCTGAATATCGCTCAGAACTTGTGGAATTGTTCAGTTTCAATTCCTAGTCATTATTATTATCCTCGGTCACAAGAGCACTAACTCGCTCAATAGCATTCGTTATTTGCAGAATAGCTGCAGCTGGCGCCGGTGAAATTTTAGAAGCAATTTCTAATGATGTTTCGTAATTTTTCAACGCCAGATGTGGTTTATTGAAAGCCTGATGTAGTGTTCCAATTTGAAAATAAATTTCTGCAATCTTCAACCGATTTTGTGACAAATGTTGTTCTCGTTTATTAAGTGCAATTGTAAAATGTACTAATGCTGCATTATAACGATTTCCTTTTTTACTATAAACTGCACCCATAGCTCTCCATAGTTTAGCTTCCAATTCAACATTTGGCTCAAACATATGACTCAATGCATTTTCATAATTTTGAATTGCTTCAGTGAAATTATTATATTTAAAATGGATACAGGCCATGTGTACGAATGTTTGTATCTGTTGATAGTTTTTTGCGATTCCAGCTTCCGTAAAGGCATCGGCAGCTTTTTCAAAATTTCTTAATGCTTCTTTATCATTGTTTATATCTAGATAAAGTTCTCCCAAAGCAAAATAACTGCATACTATGTCTTTATGATTTGGTGAAAGCGATATTTGTCGTATATATAAAGCTTTGAGCTCATATTCTAATGCTTGTTGTAATTTTTTTTTCTTTTTATAAATACTACCAATATTGTGATAAATCCAAGCTAATATTGGATGATTTGTTTGTCTTGTTTCGTTTATTAGATCCTTGGCCTCTTCTAAATATTTTAAGGATTTCTCTAAATCACCTTTACATTCATTTGTTAAAGCCACTGCGATCAGATATTTTGCACGCATAGGATGATTTCGTGGAAGAGTTTTATTAGCAATTACAAGCGCTTGTTCTTGATAATGTAATGCTTTGTCATAATCGGTTTTGTCACGATAAATCTCCCCTATATTGCGATAAGCTTCTAGTAAAGGAGTGTCGTTTTCAGGTACATATTTCAATAAATTTTCAGCTGCTATCTGATAATTTAAAATGGCTTTATCATGATTAGCCATAGCATAATATACTTCGCCTAATCCTTCATGTAGAGCTGAATGCCATTGAAAGTATTTTCTAGGCTCAAGTTGTTTTGCATCATTTCTAAGAATGTCACGAGCTTTAAAAAGTGTATTGAGTGCTATTGAATAATTACCTCGATAACAATATATTCGAGCCAGTTCAATATATTGCTCAGCTAGTATAGAATGTTGTGGTATAAAAATTTCTGCGTAGAAGTCTATTGCTTTTAATCGATATTCGATTGCTTCATCCAACCTACCCAAGGAAAGCAGTGTACTGCTAAGCTGTATGCATGCATGAGCAGAAAAAAGAATATTGGATGGATCCTGTTTGGTAATGATATCAAGCGCTATATACTGGTGATCAAGTGCTTGAATAAACTGACCTCGTTGAACATGTGTCCCCGCAATAAGCATATATATCAAAGGAATATGTGTATCATTATTTTGCAGTTGACCAAGTCTAATTCTATAATATTTCTCGGCCCGTTCAAAATCGCCGGTTCTTTTTAATAGATCACCAAAGAGACTTAATGTATTTTCATTCTTAGTTTGCTGCGGAATTCCGAGATGTTCTTGAGAAGCTGTTTTTTCATCGTTGTCTTGCTGTCTATAATGATCAATTAACTTTTTCAATTCTTCATCTTCTTCATTGCTTAATGACAAAACAATGAGTGATGCAGTCGTAAAACGCGTAACATCTTCGACACGAAATACAGTTCCCATCGAAAATAATGTTTCATCTTCATGTTTCATAGAACTAAAATCTTTAATATTGGCAAATGGCTTCGTTGTTATTTCTACATCAATTTCGATCTGGAACATAACTGATTCAAAACCTCTTTCTGAGCGTGAATCATCAGCGCCGGAGAATGCATAAGCCATAGCTGAGTCTGTTGTTGTTGAAAAAAATGTATTAATTGAGATTAATTTGCCGCTACTGTTTTCTATTTGATTTAACTCATCAGATGACAAACGTTGACCACGATAGACTGTTAATTTTCTAGGACCAACGTATTGTCTTCTCCATTCATTATACAACTCAGATAGATTATTGTAGAGATCTATAATATAAAATCGAAATTTAAATATAATGTCAATGTCTTCTGTGCGAAATGCTTTGTTCAGTAAACGATAAAGAAAACAATCAGTCGTATACCAGCGAAGTGCGTTAGCAGCAGTGTATTCGGCCTCGAAAGTATTAATTTTTGCCAATTCTTTATCGTCATTCTGATATTGTAGACGACATTCATCTAGCATTTCATTCTTAGCATTCGAATCACAAGGAATAATAATAAGAGTATCAATAAGTAACTGAAACCATAAAAAAGTCGCATTGTCTCTATTTAAGTCACGAACAGAATTTTGTTTGATATCATCAATGCTAAATACGCTCATTGCTAGTGAGTTCTCAATACGTAGTTGTACATCATGCCCAAGCGTTTTAAAAAGCAAAGATTTATCAACGAAAACTCCGGAAATTTTTGTATTGTAATTATTGCTCCATTTTTCATGTTTTTCTTTATCAATACAAAAAATATAAATCGAAATAATTTGTGGACATTGATAAATCTGTGGTACAATTTGTTCACCAAATTCACCAGAGATTATAAAATATATATTTTCATGTATAGCAGAAGATATGTAATTCATACATTCATTAACCATATTGAAAAGTTTTAAATTGTTGTTACTAGAATTCAAAGCATAACGTAAACGGTGTTTCATATCGATGCAATCCTTCGTTTTATCGATCTGACGGTCGAGCCATATAATAACAAAGTCTTCTGAATGCTTTTTATTAACAAATGAAAAAGTCGGAAAATTTGGTTGGCGAACATTATAAAGAGAGGTGGTACTGTCCATTCCAATGTTTACATCAAAAATAATTTAAACAAAATAGTTTCTTTTTCTTCGCTGAGTGAATGTAGTAGAGAAAACAAGTTCCCTTCTCTTTTTTCTTTCCTAAAATAAAATATTTTTCTTTTATAAACATCTATGTTTGCATGCACATTTAAGTAGTGCATGCTAGAAAAGAACAGAACAGAAAAGAAAAAAAAATTCTTCTTTGTCTATCGCGGACTGCTTTCACATAAGGGATCTGCAAACCGTCGAGCTACATCGCGTCGCTTTGTTTCCTTGAGATGCCGTTTTTTTCTAACAAATATTTTTTAAGCGTTAACATTAATCGTGAAGTGTAAACAATAGTGACTAGAAATGAGAATGCATCCATTTACATATGTGTGGTTCTAGTGTCTATTGTGTCGTTTTTTTTTACAAGAAATGGTTGCAAAAAAAAGTAAAGTTTTATCGTTAAAAATCTATGAAAAAATCGAATGAAATTTGAAGAGAAAATAAATATTTTATGAAAACCAAATAATAAAAATGGAATCGAAATGAATTTTAATGACGGGAATAAATGTTGAAAAGATTTTTCTTTAATAAATTAACAAATTTTATCATTTTCCAATTTTAGTTTTTTTGATTTCAAGAGTTGTTTTAAAACAACTCAATTGAGAAATGATTTATCAAAATGAAATCAATGCAAAGAAATTTGATTTGAAGTTTCAAAATAAAGCAATGAGAATTTCCATTTAAATGAAAACCAAAAAAAAGAATTCCAAAAGAATAATGAACGAAGAATTTGAAATAAAATGAAAAAATTAATAAAAACTTTGAAATGAGACAAAAATGAAATTAGCTCTTTAATTTCAAAGATTTGTAATAAAATAAAAATATTTTCACCTTGAGGGTGTGGGTGTGCATCACATTCAGCACATGAAACTGATACAAGATGAAATGCAACTTGATTTGAACAAAGTATTGCTCCTGTATATTGTAACTATTGTACAATTAAATCATCAGGTATACATGATATAGCTACAAGCCATCGAATTTCAAATTCAAATAAACAATGTAGATTATAAAATGAATAATAATGTGCTCTTGATCATTAGCGTCTATCTGATATATGTTTTGGATCGACATCAACATAACAATCACGTTTAAGAACAATTGATGATTTTTGTAAATCTTTGTCTTCGAACTTTTATTTGTGGATTATCAATTCATTTTAGTAATAAACCCATTGGTTTACATTCACCAAAACTTAGATAATCCATTGATCGAATATATGTTTGAGTTTGATGAAATTCAACTTCAGTATAATCATTTACATCAAGAGGAAAAAAATCCAAAACGAAACTTTTTTCTATATTTTCACAATGTCGAATATGTCCTTCAGTAAATAAAATTGTGAAAATTTACTTAAAATAGATCTAGAGCTGTCTGTTCATTTTCTACATCTTCACACTGTTCAATCAACCAGTAGATAGCTTCAATTGAAATGAAAGTATGTTCTGATAATACAGAATCTTCAACAAATAATAAACCTTGTTGATCATCTCGAAATGAATTTAATAAATTATTTATTGTATCTTTATCAGTAGGCATTATATCAGTTGATTTAAATCTTTCAATTGGAATTCTAAAAACAAAAAAGTTAAATTAAGATAAATAATAAAATAAAATTATCTTACAAGGTTTTTCCTTAACGTTTAGGAGGATCAGTTCGTTTTTTACCTGTTAATGGATCAAGAGGCTAAAATAAAAAACAGATATGTATCTCGACAAGCGAAGAAGTATCTATATTCGAAATTTCTCATTGATTTATTATTATTGTATAAATTTTAATGGTTGATTGTGTATGAATGAAATAAACTGATAGATTATTTTGAAGATAGAATAAAAATTAATTATTATCATATTTAATTAACTCTGTCTCTCTCTCTCTCTCTATGTGCGATGGAATTAATCAGTATAAGTAAAATATACCAATGAATAACTTCATAATAAAAATATTGAAACAGTTCTATTATCTATAGATCTGACTACTGGCAAACAAAAGTTCTGGAACATTTCGGAATTCTACACATCATCCAATTTAAAGGATATATCTAACAGAGGTTGTTTTGTGTTCATCATTCTCTTTCTATTGACATATTTTGTTTATTAATCGAAAATATTTTAAAATGCACGTTGTATTTAATTATATATTCTTTTATTATGTAATACATAGAATTGATTTAAAGATTCAAGAATTTGTGAGTCAGCGTAATAGTCTCTTATCCTACGCTCATATTCAAATCTATGTAATAGGATACGTCCATTGTGTAATGTCTTATGAAAGTAATGTTAATAATTAAAGTCATGAAATATCAGTAAGATTAAGTTAGTGAATAAGTGTTAACAATGTAAGAGAATACTGATAGTGTTCGCATAATAGTTTGCTGCAACAATATCGATTTTATTGTCATTGTTCACGTCACCTACAGCTACTGACGCTGGACGATAACCAACCGAGTAACTTAATTGAGAAAGAAATGTTCCATTGCCTGTACCGAGAAGAACACCGGTGGTATTCGAACCAGAATTTGCGACAATAATATCTTGGTTATTATCACCATTCATATCGCCGATTACTACTGAATATGGACTAGTACCAGTTGAATAAGTAATTTGAGACAGAAACGTTCCATTGCCTCGGTTCAGAAGAACGCTAACGGAGCTCGAACCGGAATTTGCGACGACAATATCGATGTTATTATCATTGTTGACATCACCTACTGCTAACGATTGCGGATCTGAACCGACTGAATAAGTAGTCTGAGAAGAAAATGTTCCACTACCTATGTTTAGCAAAACACTGACGGTACCTGAATCATAGTTTACGACAATAATATCGATTTTATTATCATTATTTACATCACCCATTTGTACTGACACCGGAATGCTATCAACTGGATAAGTAATTTCAGAAAAAAAACTTCCGTTGCCTTTGTTGAGTAGAACACCGACGTTACTCGATCCAGCGTTTGCAACAACAATATCCGACGCATTATCATTATTCACATCAGCTACTGCTACTGCGTAGGCATAGGAACCAGCTGTGTAAGTAACTTGAGAGAGAAACGTTCCATTACCTCGGTTGAGAAGAACGCTAATGGTATTTGCACCATAGTTTACGACAGCAATATCGACTTTATTGTCACGATTCATATCACCTACTGCTACGGAATATGGAACTGAACCAACTGGGTAGGTAATCTGAGACGAAAAGATCCCGTTACCAGAATTTAGAAGAACGCCGATATTATTCGAACCATAATTCGCGACGACAATATCGAATTTATTGTCATTATTTACATCTGCTAGCACCAGTGATAAGGGAGCAGAAACAACTGAGTAAACTGTTTGATTGTTGAACATACTGTAGCAACCTATCAAAATAGAGAATATATTTCTGTATTTATACTAATGTACGGGTAGAATCTGATGATCATATTTTATTTCTATTACAGCTAAAATAACAACTAAAACCATATATTAGTTTTTTATAAACAATCTTTGATTTGTACAATATTCTGGTCAATTTATATTTACTTACTACATTCTTGATATGGCGATATTGATAACAATATTTTTTTTTGATATAATTTATCATGGTTATAATTTCAATCTAATGGAATTAATATGTTCGTCAATAAAAAACTAATAGAACATTTTTTAATTTTGTTTAATTAAATTGAGCTCGGTAGATAGAAGTTTCTCTATATTTTTCAATTGACCCTCTGATAGTACTAATGTTTGCTATAAACTGAATGCCTCTCTTCCTTAAAGTATTCTGAACGTAGATCAACAGCTGATTTTCTAACTCTATCTGTAAAAACGTTCACTGAAAAACCAGATATAAGATAATTTATTGCTCAAAATGAAGACAATAGATAATCAATATAGAAGGAGAAGGACACTCATAGATTTTTGTATGGATTCTATTGAGAATTAAAAGTGAAAAGAAGTCAAAAAAACTCATGCATTGAATAATAATAAGAAACATCAGCTGGAATTTTTAATCTCAATATACAGTCATATGTAGATGTTTTGCTATTAAATTTTGTAACAACAAATCAATTCGAAATTTTTTCTCAAATTATTCATGTAAATGAAGAATATGTGGGAGATCTAAAAACTAAACCTTGCATTTTTAATTATTCGAATTAATCATAGATCAGAAAATTTTAGTTATACATATCATCTAGCAAATAGCTTACCAGTTGTTGTCGTTGATGTTGACGACGTTGTTGTTGTGGTTGAAGATGATGATGTCGATGACGATGTTGTTGTTGATGATGACGATGATGTCGATTGTATTGTTGTTGACGTCATCTGATCTATATTGGAAAAATGAGACTAAAAAAGGGACACGATAATTGGGTAAGGCTTCCTCCATAATTTTGCATACCTCGTTCTGCTAACAGTGCAGTTGATTATGAATGCATCGTGAAAAATTTTACATAAGTTCTAATGGATTTACAAGCCTTACGCGTTCTATAATGCCTATTTATAGCTATAGCTGTACTAGAATAGTTCAACTCTAGTAATGGTTCATTTAGAGTCCTATATAGTTATGAGTATGAAAAGTGATGCTAGAACACTTGTCACCGAGCAATCAAATGAGGACATCTCCGAGAACAGCTACTGAGCATCAAAACTTTTTTTGAAATAAAAATGCGTTTTTGTGTTTCGGTGGCTATGGCGTCTTCGATCGGCTTACATTTCTGAACATACAATAACAAATGAATCTATTTTCGACACATAAGGGTTGTTGCATCTATCGAAAGTAATATGCAACTGAGTTAGCCTTTAACTCGAATATTCGCAGCAAATAAATGGATAGCAAAACTATGACTTTTTTACAGTATCGTATAATATATTTACTCTGTGCTATGAATATTGCTGATTGATTCATAAATATCAAATAAGAATTCGAATTAAATTCAATTAAAATCGAAGTATAATTCGTATAAAATAATTGACAAGTTTGATTTGTTGAAAAATAATTTAATGTCGATATGATTCCGTTTGAATTTATCATTTCGCATATACATTGACTTTGTGTTATATTCCATAATGATTTATATATATTACCGATCAATATATTATTATCGATTTTACCGATAAGAATACAATCACCAGTAGAAAATACCAGTAAAACAAAAAATATCCAAAGCATCTTTTATGACTTGACGTTGTAAAATTTTCTTACTAATGTTTTAACAACTAACATTACTGTTTCTCTTTCCTTTCATTTTCTCCAACTTTCTTGTTTCATATTTAATCAGTACAAAAAAAAGTGCTGTAGATTCTTCGCCAGATTTCTAGGAAAAAATAACTAGTCATGCCTATTCCATATACAAAACAAGTAGAATAGCAACAGGGGATTTTTTTCAGTCATTTATGAAATTGAAATTATCATCATCAAACGAAGAAAAGAAAAAAGAAACAGTTTTTTTTCTGCATATGTAATGGCTTTTT